TTTTCTCTCATGAAACACAGGATTGACAGCGATATGGATAGCTGTTTGGTTGTCACAGAACAACTGTAAAAGAAGTTGAAATAGAAATCTAATTTTCTGGAGGAAGTGTAGTTGCCAAGTCAACTCACTCGTCGTATGTGCCATTGACCTATACTTAGTCTCAGCACTAGATCTTGTTAACACGGGTTGTTTCTTACTTTTTCATGAGACAACATTACCTCCTAAGAAAGTACAATAACCAATGGTTGATCTCCAATCAGAAGGAGAGCCAGCCTGATCAGCATCTGAGAAACCTTCCACTCTAAGATGTCCATTAGCTCGAAATAAAAGTCCAAGTCCAGGAGCTCGTTTGAGATATCACAGAATACGAGTAACTGCCTCCCAATGTGGTACTCTAGGACATCCCATGAACTGGCTTACTATACTGACTGCATATGAAATATCCGGTCGAGTAATAGTGAGATAATTAAGCTTTCCAACTAATCTGCGATACTGATCCAGATTCTCAAACAATACATCATCATCCATCAATAATTTCTGATTCGGATCCATAGGCACATCAATCGGTCTACCACCCAGCAAGCCTATTTTCTCAAGCATGTCAAGTACATATTTCCTTTGAGATAAATAAATATCCTGTTTAGATCGAGCCACCTCAATACCCAAGAAATACCTGAGTTTTTTCAAATCCTTAGTATGAAATCGATCTTGTAAGAATATTTTTAACTTGACAATCCCCTCAGAATCATTTTCAGTAATCACAATATCATCTATATAGACCACCAATAGAACATACCCAACATCTGTCTGCCTATGAAATACAGAATGATCTGTCTGACATCGAAAAAGACCAAACTCTAAAACTGCATCTAAAAATTTACCAAATCATGCCCTCGGTGACTGCTTCAAACCATACAAAGATTTTTTTAACCAACATCCACTCTTACCATACTCCCCCTGAGCAGTAAACCCAGGTGGCTGTTCCATGTAGACCTTTTGAACCAAATCACCATGTTAGAAGGCATTCTTGACATCTAACTGAAACAAAGGTCAATCAAGATTAGCAGACAGAGAAATCAAAATACAAACAGAGGAAATTTTGGCAACAGGAGAAAAAGTCTCCTCATAAGCAATACCATAAGTCTGAGTAAAGCTCTTTGCAACAAGTCGGGCTTTGAGACGCTCCACCGAACCATCAGGATGAAATTTAACAGTATATATACAACGACAGCCAACAATTCGTTTACCAGAGGGTAAAGGAACAAGATCCCAAGTCCCATTATGATGTAAAGCAACCATCTCCTCCTCCATAGCTTTCTTCCAACCCGGATCAAATAATGTATCCTGTAAATGCTTAGGAATAGATATAGCAGATAATTGGAAAGTAAAACAGGAAAAGACAGGAGACAAGGCATCATATGAAATAAAATGAGAAATGGGATGATTAGTAACACACAAACGAGTACCTTTACGAAGAGCAATAGGTAAAGAATCTAAATTACCTAAAGTTCCAGGATCAGAAGGTGGCAAGGAAGAAGTTACGGGCACTTCAGTCGATGGGCGAGGACGGCGAGAGTAGATACGGAGAGGTAAAGTAGATGATAACACAGTGGACAGCAGAATATCTGAAGATAAGGAAAAGGATGGTGATACAGGAGAGGATCCAAATTTCAAATCTAAAGGCTGAGAAGGTGCTGGAAAGTATGAAACCGATTCTTCAAATGTGACATCCCCACTAGTAAAGTATCGGTGCAGAGAAGGACTGTAGCAATGATACCCCTTCTGTGTGCGGGAATAACCTAGAAATACACATTTGGTAGCTTGAGGGTCAAGTTAGTCAAATTCAGGACCCAAATTCTGAACTTAACAGACACAACCAAAACCCTTAGGAGTCAGAGAAAATAAGGGCTTACCAGGAAAAAGAACAGAATATAGATTGTGTCCGTTTAACACAGAGGAGGGCATACGATTAATAAAATGACAAACAGTAAGAACAACATCACTCTAATAATATCGAGGAATATTCATCTAGAATAACAAGGCACGAATGACTTTCAACAAATGGCAGTTCTTGCGTTCAACAACACCATTTTGTGGAGAGGTGTAAGCACAAGAAGTCTGATGAATAATGCCAGTTTTACTAAGATAAGCTGAAAAAGGATCAGATTCATATTCTCGAGCATTATCAGAACGTAAAGTACGTATACGACAACCAAATTGAGTTTTATTTCCTTACGAAAAGTCTCAAATATAGAGAATAATTCAGACCGAGCGTTCATCAAAAATAACCAAGTCACACGAGAATAGTCATCCACAAATGTCACAAAATAAGGATATTTATTAGATGAAATATTCTTTATTGGACCCCATACATCAGAATGGACTTATTCAAATGGACTAGACACACGATTATTGACTCTAGATTGAAATGACACTCGATGATGCTTACTAAGTTGACAAGCTTTACAAGACAAAGACGACACATAACTAAGATTGAAATGACACTCGAGGGATGTCCAAGATGACAATGTCATTGAAAAAGAGACAATGAGATCTATAGAGCTCGGGTAGGTGAATCAAAGTCAAGGTAATATAGGCCACCTGTTTCATGCCCCGTACTAATCTTCCTCTTCGTCTTGAAATCCTGAAAGACACAATAAAAGGGGTAAAAGGTTATAGAACAATTAAGAGAACGAATAATCTTGCTAATGGAAAGTAAACTAAAAGGAAACTGAGGAACAAATAACACGGAAGATAGGGACATATCAGGACTCAAGTGAGTAGTCCCCAGACCTGAAACTTAAGAACAAGTACCATTAGCAAGAGTAACACTACGTGTGGAAGTAGCAGACTGATAAGCAGAGAAAACGTCAGACGCACCAGTTATGTGGTCAGAGGCGCCAAAGTTTGATTCAAGGACTGCGAGTGGAGGACAATAAACAGGTGGAAACAGTACCTGACTGGGCAAAAGTAACAGTGGAAAGAGATGGAACAGCCTGTTGCTGGGACAAGAACTGAGCATACTCCTCTCGACCCAGTGTAATAGTAACCGACCCTGTATCTGGTAGAGCTGATCAAGGTATGGAAGCAACAACAGAGGTATCATCCTGATAAGAAGCCTGATTAGCAGTACCAGAAGGTTTTTCATGTAAATCCCAACAGAAATCAATAGTGTGTCATCCACGGCTACAGTAAGTACAGGAACGGGATCCACTATGACCCCCACGACCACCTGTACGACCTCTGCGACCACCACGTCTACCTCGATGACCATCACTATGGCTATTAGGAACCACAAGAGCTAAGTGATCAGTGGAGACACCATGATCAATAACGAAAGGAGTAGACAGTGTAGTACGCTGTAAACGAGAAAAAACCTTCAGCAGTGATGGAAGACTAAATCTACCCAAAATCTGAGAACGAATAGCCTCATATTCAGGTTTCAATCCTACCAAAAATCTAACAACATTTAGGTCCTCATGTTGCTTTTGTCAAAGTGCTGCATTAGTAGTAACCGGATGGTAAGTTTTCATCTCCTCACAGACTCCTTGAACATGAAAGTAATAATCCACAAGGCTCAGAGTACCCTGCTCCAACCGGAAGTACTCCTTGCACACCTTATACGCACGGGTAAAATTACCTGTACTAAAATACATCGTGGTCAAGTGATCTCATATCTCTTTGCTAGTATCAAGATAGAACAGAGAAGAGCTAATACTGGGCTCTATGCTTGTCAACAATAAAGAAATAATCTGAGCATCCTCTTGTTCCCACTGATCATACCCAGGAGTATCTTCCTTGGGTTTAGAACCCACCAGATATTTCTTAAATCCTTTGCCTCGAAGAAAGACTTGAACAGATCGGGACCATAAAGTGTAATTAGTCCCATTAAGTTTGACAGAGGTCATGGGACCATTGATAAGAGTTGGAGAAGACAAAGATGGAGTAAGAGACCTGGTATCTTGCTTGGGTTCCATAATAATACAGCAAATAGTAAACAAGAAGAGTAACAATGCTAAAGTAGAGAAAAAGAAATTGCTAGAAGGCTGAACCGGGCTAGAAAAGATAGCTGGACCACTGAACCGGGTTGGAAAAGGTTGCTGGAACATTGAACCGGTTCGGTTTAGCCCTCTGGAGCACTGAACCGGACCGGTTTTGCTTGCTGGAATACTGAACCAGGCCGGTTTTGCTTAATGAAACACTGAACTGGGCCGGTTTTGCTTCATGGAGCATTGAACCGGGCTGAACCGGTCTGAAACTAATCTAAACCGAACCAAACAATGGATTGGGTCAGATTTGGGTTGACCTAAAGTGGGTCGGGTCGGGCTGTGTCTTCTTCGCTGGTTAGGGTTTCAAAAAACCCATTTCCTACAACTGCGCCTCACCATTGCACCTCACCACACAACCACGAACCGAATACGAACCACCACAACAACCACCACAGACCACGCCTCCAACAACGATGAGCCACCACAGACTACGCCGACGATGAACTACCACACAGCCACCACAGACCACGCGATCACAACAACCACCACAGACCACACCTCACCACCAAGGATAAACCACCACAACAGCCACCACAAACCACAGCCACACCACCATAACCACAGCCGCCAAACAACGGCAAACAACACAGTAGCACCACCACGATGAACAGTACACCACCACCACAGCAGTAGCACTTCTACGAACAAAATTTATTCAGAATATATATTTATGATCGTATATAGCTCTAATACCATGTTAAGCTGAGTGAATTAACATAATACAATATTAGAGAGAAAGAGAGAGGTAAAAAACTTAACCTAGTTCTCATACATCACTTGTATTTATAGTTAACCTATAGTAATAAGAATTACACATACACTCTCTTACTATTAACAATTTACACATACCCTATTATTCCTAACAACTTCAAACTAAATGTCTATTTGGGTCTTATCCCAACCAGCCTCCATGTGTTGAAAAGTTCCATTGATGTGCATCTCAGATTTGTTATGGATGTCAAGCAATTCTTCAAACCTTTGACCTTTCAATTCGGGAGCAAGTGGTGGATTGCCTCTACAAAGCTGCAGATTCCTCCAGAGGGCTACTTGATCATAAATGTAACTATGTTCTCGCTTTTGTTCTTTGGTGTGAGGCGTGTAATTTTTTATATGTCATGTCGCAAGAGCAGGGCTGGTGGACCTCTTATTGACAAGATTCTTGTACTGCAGAATAAGGACAATGTGTGCTTGGGTATTCTTGATGGAAGCAAAGTACATGATGGATCTACTACTATACTTGGAGGTATTTTTGTCCATTGTAAATTTTGGATTCTTGGTTTAGAATTCTTTGGCTGTTTGGCATTCTTTCATTTTGTCCATGCAGTTTCAGTTTTTGCTAGCTCTACTGCCGACACCACATAAGAATCTAAATTGGTGTACTGTTCAATTTGGAGTGAATGTCAGATCCTTTCAACATCATAGGGTCTACAAAAACAAAACTGTTCAGGGGAAAAAGGATTTGAGTGGAAAGTGTTGATGCATCCAATTGTTAACATTACTGCTGTTCCTATTGTTATTATTGTTCTTATTACTATTGTTATTATTATTATTATGGACCCAATCTCGACATAACAGAATTACTAGCAGTAATCGGTACCGTAATAGGAACCATTAAGTATCAAAAAAGATGAGAACATTTGTTGTTTCTGGTTGTATGTCTTGAAGTTTGATCCATTTATACATGACCTAGACATATGGGGCATCATGTTTTCATGTTGTCCTCACTATTCACCATTTCTTATAGACGTCTTTTTCTCTCCCCCTACCTAATGGACACTCATTGGCCTTTGCAGACATCTCCTTGCGTGGACTATTGGTTGTATATGACAACGTGAACCATAAAGTTGGGTGGGTGCAATCGGACTGTATCAAGCCACGGAGGGTCAGGAGTTTTCCATTTTTCGAGGCATGATAACTTCTACAGCTCTTTTTTGGGTCATCTAACATACTGTAAATTTGGAGATAAAGCAGTATAAATGCTTTTCATTTTATGTGTTTTCCTTGTACATAGTAAGTTCTGTATCTGCTTTTCCTCTGTATACTTGTAGTGCCGTTTAATGTCATCCACTGTTTTTTCACTCTTATGTTTTCTGGGTAGAGTTGGGGGTACCCAGGATCAGCTGTAAACAATCGTTTTTCGCATCTATGTTTTAAACTTACAATCAATATTTTGATCTCTCAGGTGTAATCCCAATGAAAATAAAATTTTGTACAAAGAAATTATGTTGATTATCTTGTTCTGATGTAGGTGTGCGCGGCATTCTGATTTTAGCAGAGCATAGGATCTAATTTGAAGGCTATATTGGCAACTTCTTAGGTCTTCTATTGAACTTATGGAACATAGAAGAAGATATCACTACGTACAACATAAGGCTTGAAAGCGTTCCTTATTATAAGCAAAAGGAGTACTTTTTGTTATAGATGGAGAAGTTGAGTAAAGGGGGCGGAGCTCGTAGAGCAAAGTTGACGTAGCGGAAGCTTGTGAAGAAATAGGGCGCCACCTACTTCTTGAAAAATCGTTCGAATCCATCAATAAAAAAAAAGGTAACACACTCGGAGAATAAAATCTCAGAAAAAAAAATTCTTTATTGGATGAAAGTTAATCTTGCAACGAAAAGAAATGGCCTTTATATAGGCCGCAAAACCTAATTTGATTAGAACTATAACTTTAGGAAAGAAATAACTAAAATGAGGAAAAATACTAAAATTTTCAAAAATAAACAAATTCTAATTAAAAGTATATATCAAAAGTCCTAAACTTAAGCAACAATCTGGGAAAACGGACAACTCCAAACGGCAACTGTAGCTCCCGAAATTAAGCAATACATTTTTGCCAAAAATAGCAAAAATGCACTTTTGAAGGCCCAAACGAAAAAATTTGCCCAAAAAGCGGCATAGATCCTAGCCAAAGGCTAGGAGTATTGAACAACACATCGATTCCAAATCACCCACCTAATTTCACACAATTCTGACGTTTGACCCTTCTCTCCCTGTTAGTGCTTTTCTGATTTTGTTTTTGGAGGTCCCTCTGTGCTAGGAATTCTTCTACAATCTGTTCTACATCAGTCTCCCCGGCTTGAAAAGAACTTGACCTCGAGTTAATTAATTGAGAAGACGTCACATCAGGAGGATGATATTCAAACAAATCAGCAACATTGAAAGTAGGAAAGATGGTCATATCTGCAGGAAGGTCCACAACCTAGGCATTATCATTAATTTTCTATAGAATCTGGAAAGGACCATATTTCTTGTCTCATAGCTTGTTGTACATTCCCACTGGCAACCACCCTTTGCGCAAATAAACCATCACGAGATCTCCCTCTTGAAATACTTAAGCCCATCTCTTTTTATCAACAGCCTTGTATTTGGCATTAGATGCCTCCAAAATTTTCTGCACCTCTTCTTGAATAGCCTTGATACGATCCACCATATTTTCTACTGCAATACTCAAACCAGGAAGTTTGGCGAAGGAACCAAGTCCAAAGCATGGCATGAAGGACAACAATACAATGGGGTATTCCTAGTAGATCGATTGAGCATACTGTTATAAGCAAATTCAACCTGTGCAAGAGCAAGATCCCACTGTTTTGGCTTCTCTCCAGAAAGACTGTGAATGAAATTCCCAAGAGTGCAGTTCACCATTTCTGTTTGACCATTGGACTGAGGATGACTCGTGCTACTGAAATTCAGGGATGTGTCAAACCGCCTCCACAAAGTCCACCAAAAATGACTCAAGAATTTGGTGTCCCTATCTAAAGTGATGGATTTGGGAACCCCATACAAACGAACAACCTCTTTGAAAAACAAATTCGCCACATGCACTGCATCCGAGGTCTTTTTGCAAGCAATAAAGTGAGCCATTTTGGAATACTTATCAACCACCACAAAGACTGAATCAAATCCGCGTTGGGTTCGCGGAAGGCCCAAGACAAAGTCCATGGAAAGATCCTCCCACGGTGCTGCTAGAATGGGCAAAGGCATGTATATAGACCCGTATTTTTAGATTAGCCTTTGGTAGCCTGATAAGGCATCTTTTAACAAGACTGCCAATGTCTCGTTTCAGTTGGGGCCAATAATACCTCTCTTTAGTAAGAGCTACTGTTTTGTCACGACCCAAGTGTTCGCCCAAGCCTCCACTATGTAATTCATGAATTATCTGATCTCGTAGTGAACTCCTAGGGATGTACAATTGGTTGCCTCAAAACAGATAACCCTCTTTAATATGCATTCCCAAATATCCTGAAAGTCTTCGTCGTCTGCATACAGCTCCTTGAGACAGTCAAACTCAATCACTTTAGTCCGCATGGTGACTAGCAACAACGCCCTTCTGCTTAGAGCATCAGCTACCCGGTTTAATTGACCCGCCTTATGCTTCAAAGTGAAAGAGAAGTGTTGTATAAACGAAATCCAGGGGGCATGCATCCGGTTGACACTATTCTGGCTATTGATAAATTTTAGCGTTTGGTGGTCGTTGAATAAGACAAACTCCCTCTGTACCAGATAGTGTTCCCAAACCTTCAAGGAGTGAAAAAACAACATACAATTCCAGCTCATAAGTAGACCACTTCTGGCGAGCTTCACTGAGCTTCTCACTATAAAACACAACCAGCCTGCCTTCTGGAGAAAGTACAGCACCAATGCCAACAATAGAGGCATTGCACTCTACTTGAAACAGCTTGCCAAAATCTAGCAGTGCTAAAACTTGGACGGATGATAATTTCTCCTTGATTAGCGCAAAAATCTATTATGCTTCCTCTCCCCAATGAAATTTCCCCTTCTTCATGGATTCAGCAATTGGTGCGATTATTCAGCTAAAATCTTTGACAAATCGCCTGTAAAATGTTGCCAGCCCATGAAAACTACGAACCTCGCCCACTATTTGTGGAGTTGGCCACTCCAGAATGGCACAAATATTTTCTTCATCAACTTTAATCCTAACAACACTTACCACAAATCTCAAAAATAACAAATTGCTGGTCATAAAGCTGCACTTCTTTAAATTAAAATACAACTTATTTTGCTGCAAAACTGTAAGTACTTCCCTTAAGTGTGCAAAATGGTTAGATTCGTTCTGGCTATATATTAATATGTCATCAAAGTACACCACAACAAATTTTCCTAAGAATTGTTTTAATACCTGGTTCATGAGCCGCATGAAAGTACTGGGCGCATTGGTGAGGCCAAACGACATCACTAACCATTCATACAACCCTTCCTTGGTCTTAAAAGTAGTCTTCCATTCATCTCTAGGCCTAATCCGAATCTGATGGTACCCTTTCCGCAAGTCAATTTTCAAAAAAACTTTGGATTCGGCCAACATGTCTAGCATATCTTCCAATTGAGGAATAAGGAACCTATATATAATGGTGATCTTGTTAATTGTCCGGTTGTTGATGCACATGCGTCAACTGCCATCCTTCTTTGGACCTAACAAGGCTGGTACCGCACAAGGATTCATGTTCTCCTACACCAATTCCTTCTTAATCAACTCTTCTACCTGTTCTTGTAGAATTTGATTAGGCAAACTAGTTCCCGGCATGAGATCAATCTGATGTTGTATGTTCCGCATAGGAGGCAACCCATCTGGTAGTTTTGATGGTATAATTTCCTGAAATTCCACTAGCAAAGTTTTAAGCGCAGATGGAATTTTCATAGACTCCCTACCAACTTCTCCCCTAACTACCACAACAAAATCTCTCCGGATTCCTTAGTTTCCTCTATGAATTTGCCCCCATCCACCAGAAATACTTCCTTGATCTTCGACTTTGGTTCAATAATTGAAAATTCCTCCTTTATGGGCCCCAAAATGATCTTTAGGCATTCCTTCATGAAAACATATACGTTATCAAGGCCCCTGTATTTAGCATCCACATCGAACTGACATGGTCTTTCCAAAATCATATGGCAAACATCCATCTCCACCACGTCACACACAACCCCCATCTGCATAGTTCTTCCCAATTGAAAAATTAATGCGGCAGATTTCAGTTACCTTCACTTCAGCATCCCGTTTAATCCAGCCAATCTTATACGATAAAGGGTGTTTCTCAGTTTGCAAGCCCAACTTGGTAATCATTGCTTTTGACACTATATTTTCATTGCTGCCACTATCAATAATGGTATCACAAACCCTTTTGTTCACAATACATCTGGTTCGGAATATATTATGTCGTTGAGATGGTTTTTCTCCCCTTGGCGCTAATAGAAGTCGTTGGACCACCAAAGAGCATGACAGCAGTTCTCCTTCGTTGCCACCCGTTACCTTTTCCTCGTCATAAGTATAGGCCGCTTCATTCTCGTCCTTCTCCGTCTCGAATCTTTCATCTTCTTCTAGCTCCACTAAGTTAACGGTACCCCTTTTAGGACACTGGTTGGAACGATGCCCTGGTTGTCCGCATCTATAGCATTTATCAGACCTCGGACAAGCATAAGGGTTAAGAGGTGCCACTTCTGGTGGAACATTGTTGGCTGGCTTTGTTGGACCTCCACTGCTACCTGCCCCGTGAATGGTGTTAGACAAAGATGGCTGAGTCATTAGGGCTTTTCATTTGTTTACTGCAGCACTATTAGAATCTAAAGAATTTCTTGCTACGACTGTCGCCTTTGATCTATCCAATTGAGTTTCTACCTTAATAGCCAACGCAACAGCTTCGGTTAAGGGGTAGACTGTTTGCATCGCAACTCAATCTTGTATAGCCCAACGTAACCCCCAACAAATCTAGCACCTTGTTGCACATCTGTTTCCAGCAAGTTATTACGCGACGACAGCTTGTGGAATTCCTCTAGGTACGCCTCGAATATTCTACTTCCCTGCCTACATTCCTGATATTGTTGAAACATAATTTGCTCATAATTTGGAGGCAAATATCTGGATCGTAACAGTCGCCTCATCTTAGCCCATGTCCGAACCATCCATGTATTTTGCAATTGCTCCCAACAAGTAGAAGCTCCCCCCCCCCCCCCCCCCCCC